GCAAACTTAACTATTTAAAGTCTGGGATAGTGAGAGCCCTGAGCTAACGTTTATGCGAAAGGATAAATGATCTACTGAAGCTGCACAAGTGCTCATACTGCTACTCAACCCAAAATGACTCACAAATTCTATCACAAGCTTATGATTTTTAATGATATTTAGAATGATTTAAAATACATTATTTATAATTCTATCATAAACCCATGATAGATAAACTCAACCCACTATTTAGACAATCCACCAGCAATCAGGAATTGCAGGCTTGTCTTCAGGGAGGCACAGACATGTGCAACAGTGTATGAAGTCCCATGACTGCAGTCTCACAAGGCACATGCATAAGGGGCCTCCTCCCACATAAGCAAAAAAGAGCAGGTTCCCTGTGACTGAGCTTTAAGGGTTAATAGACTAATACATTTCATATTAACACCAAAAATCACCACAGAGGACTAACAGACAAATGAAACATTTCAGTCAGATGTAGTGCCTGAAGCAAACAGTGAACTCTCTGCTTCAGATAACCCTAGCATCTGTGTATGTACCACAGAGAAAATGAATATATCAGTCTTGGGAAAAAAAAATCTGAGAAATTCTCATGTTACCACAGTGTAATGCTTGAGCTTAATATTTTTCCTAACCAAAGAAACAGATTCCAGATCTTAGAAGTGATAGAGAAGACCATATTTCATTAAATTTTCTCTGATGAACAAAAAAAAAGTAAATCAAAGGCAAATAAAGAAGGAATAGTTTAGTGTGGTTCAATGAGTCTCTTTGAATGCACAGCATGAATTACTTGGAAATACTTGAAATTGTTTAAATTTCAACATCTTGTCTACAAAGTAAAAGAAAATGTATTTCAGAAAAAGGAGTATGTAATAGATTTGTGGCTCCTTCTGCTCTCAAAAATCCAAGAAAAACCTTCTGCCTCAAAGTCTCTGCTGGAAACTCACAAAATTTGACAAATTTTGGCTGGAGCTTCCACAGCCCATGCCCTCATTTTTTCACCATGTTTAACTTCAGCTTTTTCTTTTTTTTATACTTCTGGCCAGTTAATACACTTGACCAGACAGCTTCCATACATAGAAAATAATGTAAAAGACAAAATTACAGTAAATTGAAAGAAAAAACATTTCAAAATGAACAAGGAGTCCATATGTGCTTAATTTTCTCTGTGTCTCAATTCTGAATTCTTAGGAGGTCCTAAAATGCTCCTAAAAAGATGCCTCAGACAGTTTGTTTTGCTAAAAGCAAAGCTTGGACAATTGCTTTTTGTAGTTACTAGAGAGTGGAATTTAAACATTGCTTATGGCCTTTACTATGGTAAGGACGTTTGGTTTTTTTTTTTAATTTTTATAATGGTTGGTTGACAACATCAGCAAAATGAATCCTGTAACTTCGACAAGAGACTGAAAAGGATGCCTTACACCTGATGAGGACTATGAAATGTTTCACCTGTAGCTGTTTTACTTTTCTGGCCCATTTCTTAAATTGCATGTACTTAATGCAATCCCCTGCAAATTAAGAGCAACTTCATCTGGACAGTTAGGGAGGGCAGCTCTGTAAGGACACACCTCCTGTTTCAGAGGCTTAAAATCAGAGACAATCAAAGACTAATTTAGCCCATGTACATGGAGCAGCACTTCTAAAAGTTTGAAGAGAAGTAAGTCCTCCCAGGCAGGTAAACTCCACAGCGCCTCCAATGTATCCAATATCCAAAAAAGGAGAATGAGGCGTCTGAACACATTATATACATCCATAAACTAAGGAAATCCTGTGAATCATTGATGATTAAACACTGAAACTCCTGTTGTGGTTTAATCCCAGCTGTCAACAAAGTATCACACAACCATTTTCTCACTCCCCCACGGGGATGGGGGAGAGAATCAGCAGGGTAAAAGTGAGGAAAGACAGTGGAGTAGGTAAAGTAGAAGCCTTGTGCACATGTAAAATGTCACAAGGAATTAATTCACCATTCCCCATGTTCAGACAGGTGTTCAACCATTCCCAGGAAAACTTCTCTCAAGCACACAAAACAATGACTTGGGAAGACAAATGCCATCACTCCAAATGTCTCTCCCATTCCTTCTCATTCCCCTGCTGTATACGCTCAGCACGATGCCATAGGGTATAGGATTGTGCCTTTGGTCACTTGGGTCAGCTGTCCCAGCTGTGTCCCCTCCCAACTCCTCGTGCACCCCCAGCCTGGTGGGGTGGGGTGAGGAGCAGAAAAGTCCTTCACTCTGTGTAAACTCTGCTCAAACTCTGATCAACAATAACTGAAACATCCCTGGGTTACAAACCTGTGTTCAGCACAAATCCCAAACTCAGCCCCATACCAGCTGCTGTGAAGAAAATTAATCTTCCAAAACCAGCACAACTCCCAGATCCAGAACAAGACTGGTTAGTTGGAAAGCCTAGATGTTAAAAACATAAAAGCTATGCTCTACCTCATGTGCTCTGATCCATTTACTGTGTTAGATAAACAGCATTAATCCACACAAAGCTATTGTGGTGCCTAATGGAGTTGTGAATGACTGTCTTCTGATAGGTGAAGAGATTTCATGGGATTAGCCCTAATCAGGTACTTTAGGTAATGAGAATCTCTCCATCCAGCATTGAACAAAGCCACACAAAATGGTTCTTTCCCCATATCTCAGCAGGGTTTGAATAGACAAAAACACAGATTAAGGTAATGTCTGAGCAAGGAATACTTCCTTTCATTGGTTCAATAAATAATAAAAAAAATAAGGACAAGTCTAACGTCATAGATAGAGCAAAGACACATTTACTCCAATTCATTGCAAAGCTAAACAGAAAAATCTGGCAGATTAAAAGAATCTGAGTTAATTCCTCCCATATTTTAGACATTCTTCAAATTGTGTAGTCACTGCATTTCATTAGACAAGTGAGCAGTTCAGTTTTATACATCTACGTTCATATTTCATTTAAATGAAAAGCAATATATTTATTAAAGGTAAATTCGTAAAAAAGCTTAATTCTGGTCAATTTATTTAACATAGTATCTCTTTGTGAATATGTCAATTTATATTATTGAAAGGATTAATTTTTTTAAACAAAGTAATACCAAAACTCAGGATGTAATATAAATATATAAAACTGAGCTTCAAATGTTCATGCAAACCACATACACATATAATGGATATCTGCTAAAACACACTAAAACATAATAACCTATTCAAAAATATTTCCTTTAAAGCAATTGCCTACATTTAATATTTAAGCCTTAGGGAAAAATTAAAGCAACAACACTTTTACTGCACAACATTCTCATAAAACATGGATGAGTGCTTCACTTCTGATAAAACAACATGCATCAGGAATTTATTGTATTAAGGTACTAGCAGATCAGGGGACAAAGCAAATCATGTTGAGAAAGATGAGAAAGATGATTTGTTGATTAAAAAATAAAATAAAACCCCAAACAAATCAACAACAGATTTTAAAATGAGTGCTATTATTGCCCTACATAACCTTCAGATGTTATTGAAAATACCAACTTTTCTCTAGCTCTATTTTTTACCTCTATGCATTTTCAAATCAGATAAGTACTCCCAAGCAAGCAAAAAGGGAGGAATCAGATCAAAGACAATATAGCATGACAGATAAAGGCAGAGCTATCTGATAATAATAAAACACAGGAAAACAATCCACTTTTCATCAGGTCATATGGTTCATGGGCTGTAGGAGCAGATGATATTCAGATACTAGCATGGAATTATAATACTGTAGGAGGCTTGAAATGGAATTAAAATACTGTAGGAGGCTTGAAATGCTAATTCATGCTAAAACTGTATATTTGAATAAGCCCCTCAGCTTAATCATTGAAATCAAGTTGAAACATGGGTCAGCTTTCGCTATTTAAACAAAATATTAAATGAAAAACTCCAGTGATGTCTTCATGTGAACTCATCACAGAAAACTAACACAGAATCAAAATGGTCTTGTGACAGCATTCTGGATATACAAATTACTGGTAAAATGGTAACTCTCAGCTATAGAAATGGCAGAGGAATTTTGGCCACTATCCCCTTAGACAGTAGGGTCCATGTGATCCATGGTTTTGTTTCTGATCACAAACTGAACTTTTGTGAATATTTGTTATTTGTATTGAATAAGTAAACATCAAAATGCATATAAAGATTTTTTTAGTGAGACAGTGTGTCTAACCCAGGAGTGTAGAGATACCTGTAATTTCACAGATTGTTTCAGAATATTCAAGCTCCTCATAAAGGAGTATGATGACCCATAAAAAAACCCAAACCAAACCATAAAAAAAATAGTCTAGAACCATAAAATACAAGTTGAAACACCATCAGAGGGAGAGTTAAACGCAGAATTATTTTTGTGCAGAAATGCAGAAAAGGCAGTGAACCTAATGGCAAGATATGAAATGTATTAAAGAGAGACAAAACAGAGCTCTATGGAAATTTAAAACTGATCTGAAGATGGAAATGGCAATGAGGATTAAAGCTGCAGGCAGGAAAAAGAGCTAGCCTTTTTATGGGTTCACAGTGTTCTCTGTATTCCTGCTTGCAATTATACTCTAGGGTGGCAATCAGTCATCAGGAGCATCCAAAAAGTGTAATATCCACTGTAATGGAAGTTATTCCATTCATACTTGCATGATGAGCCATTTCCATGATCCAGAATTAATTTCTTCTACATCAAAAGTACTCAAATCATACCACACTAGTGTTTAAGCACAGTGATACTCATAAACCTTAAGAATGACATTTCAATCACAGTTAAATAAAAGTCAGAGGGAGCTTAAGCTCATTTTTAATATGAGACATATTAACATTTATTTCAAACACTGGCCTGGACATATTGAAAAGTAAAATTCAGCAAAGGGAAGTCTATGGAGAGGTCATGTATTCTGTCTTGCTTCATAAGGAGAGGCATATCTAACTTATCAGACTGCTTATTTAAAAAAACACAACATTGTTAATTTATTCCTTTTTTTGCATTTCCTTAGCTCTTACCTTCCAGACTCAAATGTAAACCACGTTGAGTCACGTCCATATCTCCTCAAAGAGCTCAGAGGCCACATGACCAGCTTGACCTTGGCATTGTGGATGTCCCAGAGATAGATGTTTTCATGAGTGATCTGCATTGTACATTCCCCATAGATATCTAAATTTGGTGTAGGCATAAGGTATACATTGAATCGTTCTGAAAAAAACACAAAGTAAGACATCATAGGTTAAAGTAAGATTTTATACTGGGAAAAAAACAGTGAAATAAAGTCTTTAGTTCTGATGATCCAGAAATCAAAGCCAAAAAATCTGGTTTTAACAGAGGTGAGGATCCACTGAGATACTGAAGCAGTCCTGCTAGTGTGTAAGAGAGGAGTAAGAGGAGAATCATCCTCATTTTGTTTCCCTTATAAATGATGCATCAGTGTGAAACATCTTTCACAGATTATCTGCATAGTCCTTTCAGACATATGTTCCCAGCAACTTTACTGAAGTCCTTTTTTACCCTGACATTAAGGTCCATGACTCTTTAAAAATCAAAATCCTCAATGATGAGAACTCTGACAAAGACTCCTCTCTCAAAGAACAGAACTGAAGTTATCCTGGCAAAATATGTATGTGCAGCCGTTGCCTTTTAGAAAAGCTGTCCTTGAAATTACAAATCCAAGTTTACTGCTTGAAGCTTGTAAATAATTACTTTCCTTGCATTCAGTTTCTGTTTATTTGCCAAAGTAATTCATATTTTCAAAATTAATAACTATTTTAATCATCTCTTGCTTTCTTGAAACATCTGATTCAACATGATATATTATTATGGTCATGACATCAATCACTATCAGCTGCACTTTGCTTGCAAAGTGCACTTATTGCAGTAGGAGGTCAAGGGCATTAATAATTCTCTAAAGTGCCTGGATTGCATGGGTTTTAATAAGCAATGCAAAAAAAAAAAAATCATAAAAAAAAGGAAAAAAAGGAAAAAAAGGAAAAAAAAAGGAAAAAACCAAGGTGATGTAAACCACCATTAACTCATATGAAAGGAAGTAAACATTATTAGGAAGAGAAATTTAAATAAAAATGTAATTTTATTTTATAAATAACTTATGTTTTTATGAGTTGCTTCTAAAAAGATTGAAAAACTCAGTTAAATTTCTGGTTGTACAGTTGGAAGTGCCAGCCTATATTTTAACATTACATGCATTGCAATATTAGTGCTTAATAGCATCATATGGGAGAGTGCAGTACATTCACAACTTTCCTGTCACAGTTTCTTTTCATCTTTGAAATGGGTAAAAATGCAAAATGTCAATTCTACTGCCTGAAGGTGTTGACAGAAACGGTAAGAACAATTCAAAGCATCAGCATGAGCAATGCTTATTCAATAACAATATTTGGAAAATGTTCCTTAGAGGGACAACTGATAGGAAAATTGCCTCCAATTATTTGATAAAGTGAAAAGGGTTAAAGGGTAAAAAGGGTGGATTAGATATTTTTAATCTACCATTGGAACTGAATTGTCTCACAGTATCCTCTCAAAAATTAGGAAGGAATTTAAATTTAAGTGAGAGAAATTTACTGCAACACTCAAAATGAGCTTCCCGTTCTGTTTGAAATTCATTATTATAGGCATTGTGTCTCTAATTTTTAAACATTTGATATATACATATGTTTTTGACAAAACAGTAAAATATTGCAAATCAGTTAATATAAAATATGTTATGAGTGTGTGTGATTTTGCGTGTGTATGAATAAAGTGGCAAAAGTTTGAGGAATTAGAGAAAGCAAGGAACTGCTGGCTGAGCAATAAAAATTGCTGCATAGCTATAAGTAAACTTGCCATCCCCAATGTTGTTCTGTTTCAGTCAATTTAATTTTGTCCTATTAATGGCTCCTCAATTTATTCATTTAGTCACAACCTCTTCTCCCAGGCCCAAGTTCTCATTAGTCACACTAATGGGTTTTAGCCCTGGAAGTTTAATTTTATGACCAGGATCCCATGTGTGAAACCCCAGACATTTTGTGAAAGTCTTGTGACACACAGCACAGGTAGATTAGCAGAGGCTGTTGAGATCCCTGAGGAGAATTTCCCCTAATGCTCAGAGAAGTGTATGGGGCAGGGGTGTAATGTAATGCCTACTAAACTAAATGGAAAGACTCACACTTGGGAGTAATGGGTCAAAGACTGCATTGGGAAGGGAATGGTGGTGAACAAGATAGCTTTCACTTTCACTTTGCACTGCAATTATATATATATATATATATCTGTGTGTATATGTATATGTATACGTATACACATCCTTTCAGTATCCATATGTCATTGGGATCATCACGCAGAAATTCCTTGCAGCTCTGCAGGTGTACTTTTATCATGTATTAGCTCCAGCTTTGCATTGCTGTGCTGTCAACTATTGCCACTTCCCTCATCTATTTGAAAGCAAGATGCAGTAACTGGCCTGTCAGCTCTTTCTCTCTTGCATGACACGAAATAACACACTGTATCTATGGGGGATGGGTTTACTATGTGAGAATGAAAATCTTTCCCCATCTTCACTGACAGAATGCCTCAGACAGCAGAGAAAATGAAAAGGTACAATTATTTTTTGAAGTTAACATTAAGCTGCTGTGTGGAAGGCACAAAATACTTCAACTTGCTTTAGATGTTACCAGGTTAGCCATGAAATGCTCAACTTCTCTGATGTGTTTGAGGATATTATTGCATGAAGGGCATCCAGGACATATGGTATCCTCAAACTGTCAGGAGACATTTGCTGACTTTGCATGGGAGGTCAGTGTCTAAGGTGAGATGTCAGGGATTAAAGGAAGTATGTCTGATTAAAGTGAACATCAGCTCCAGGGCAAAACGTAGCACCCTTGGAACTGAATCAAATTGGCAAGAAAAACAAGCGTACAAACATATGTGCTGGAGAAGATTGAGGATAGATAGATTTGCTTTTGGAACAAAACCTACACTTTTGAATAACGGGCAGCTGAGGACATGGAAAGGTGTAGATACTATTAAATTGTTTTATTAATTAACATGCAGGGTCAAATTTTTCCATTTCAGAAAATATTTGAGCAGGTGTCTAGTTAATGGTAATACAGTCATTCCATCTTTAGTGGCATGTTTTGCCCTTAAACTTATCCAGGCAAAAACAAACATCCATCATAGGCCAGATTTGGAAGTTCCAGCTGAATTTTGACACCAAATCTTCTGAAAGACATTGAATAGGTTATTTTGCTTCTCTTTGTTTCAGATATCATCTGCATATGAGTAGGATGAGATCATAACAGTCCATTGGTCAGTAAAACTAACCATATAGAAGTTAATAAGGGACCCAGAAAGCAGGGAGATGGAAGAAAGCAAACAAGTAGATGCAATATTGTTGGACAAAATAAGACTGGGACTGAACAGGCACAGTTCCTCAGCACCCAGGATTCCTATTCCTATCACCCTTCTCTAAACAGGTGAGAGCAAAGTTCAGGGAATAGGGGAGCCAGGATGAGAAACAAATGTTGATATATTGCTACGCTTATTATTTCACTCAATGTGACTGCTCTTTCCCATCTCCTTGAATAAGCAGAGCAATGCTTCATCATACACTTAGTGCATGTAAAGGTGTTTAGCATTTGGGCTTTGGCAAGAATACGACATTTAATAATGCTTTCCAGGGCATAGGAGCATAAGAGTCTTTATGAAAATGAGCATATTGACTGAGACAGAGACTTGGCAGCAACTCCAAAATGCTCTCGGCCTTCCAGCTGTACTGGGGGGAGCAAAATCATGGGAGCCCAGTGATCCTGATGCTGCCATTTTATCACTGGATTCCTTTGGTTAAATCATCCCAGCTGGAAAACCAACCAGATGACATTGCAATCTTGCAATCCAGATGCTCGGTTTCATTTCAGCTTTAATGATGGGTAAAAAATTACTTATAGAAGGTGACAGCCAAGTTGGTGGCACCTACATAAATAAGTAGAGGATTTGAAAGCAAATATTCTATTTATATGCAAAAGAAACTCCTCCATCTGTGAAAGTTCTGCTGCTGACCAACTGTGGCTAATTTTCAGGTGAAAAGAGAGCTTGAAGTCTGGAAGGTGTAGCATTTTGTGTTTATTCATATCTCAGGACTATTAGAATGCTTTCCTTCTGCTGTATGCAGTGAGGAACCAGGATTTCAGAAGAATTTTTTTTTTCCTTTGCTTATAAATATTCTGCTTTGCATTCATTAAAAATGTAAGCATCTCAATAAAAATATAAAGGTAGGTAAATATTTCAAATTGTTTCAGTGGTAAGTAGTAAGGTAGAGAAGAATCTGAAGTCTCACTGGATTAACATTAAAACTGTAAACAACTTCCTTTTCTGAATAAAATTGTCTGTGTTTCATTGATTTAAAAAAAATCCAACAAACAAACCTATTGTATAAAAATGGATTAAGGATAAGAGAAGATGAATAAAAAACCATGCAAAGTGCTTTTATGTATTAAATTATAGATATCCTACAGACCCTAGAAAATGCCCTAAAACAAGTCAGCTCTGTGAATGTAATTACAAAGTCTCTATGCTTTGGCTGTCGTTTGTAATCTCAATATGTAGCACAAAGAAATGCCTCATAATCCTCTTCTGAGGATTCAAGGACGTTGTTCACTATGAAAAGCTACATTTTTACTAACAAGAATTAATGAGTTTCTTGCAATTAAAATCCAGGAAGCAAGACTGCTGCTCCTGTGGAAAATTTTTAAATAAAAAAGGAAGGTAAAACCAATGAAAGAACAAAAACCTTACAAAGGAAGTAATTTTATGAAATACCAATTTAAATATTAGGCAGGGAGAAAAGCAAAAATTCAATTATCTTTCAAACTTCTCCAGACTTTGAAAATAAAAAATAGGTTTATCATGGAGTATTTTTTTTTAAATAAAGCCTCAAAACACGTAATTAAAAAGCCTCATATTGATATCACAGGACTGAGTTAGGAGTAAATAAGATATAGCAGCAAAGGATGGATATGGCCTTTTCTTCAGTTTAGAAATTTGCATTTTAACATTTGCCCATTTTCTTCAAGTTTTACATCAAGTTTACAAGTAAAGTTTAATAGAAAATGGTTTAGTACAAGAAAATTTTAATAGAAAATTATTTAGTACAAGTATTCAACTGTTTCAGTGCTATTATTTACTATTTAAAACTGATAGAAATAGAACCTTTACCAAACAGATGCACCTGCTCCTAAAAAGTAAATTGATTAATAGTCTACACATAATGCTTTTTAAACAAATGTTATCTTGAATATTCTGATTTCCTTTTTACATTAAATATAGTCTGTTATTGTATATTGTCCATTGGATGACATCTTTCAAATTGCTTCCTTTTATAAAGAGTGAAAATAGTGTCACCTTGGAGTGCTATCCTTTGTGAGAATGGAAAAATTCTATATATGACATCATCCAGGAAGATAAAAATTAAAAAAGAACCCCAAAACCCCAAAATTTGTTTTTGTCATTACATTTTGGGGTGTACTGCAAATGCTTCCAAATGCATTGAGTGCTGGAAAGGAAGCTTCCAGTTCTTCCAAATGAAGTCAACACTCTACTTTCACAACTTCTTCATCAAGCAGCAGCTTGAGAAACGTAAGGATTATGAAATGTGCATGAAAGAATCACAGCATATTGCTTAGAAGACTTGTCAATAGTGTAATCAAATCCAGCTTAGTCCAGATTTTCTTTCATGGAGTTATAACTGTGTATTATTATTTGTCTTATCATTGCATATAAAACTTCACTGCCATTATGCTAAATAAATTACCTGAATAGGATTCTGAAGTGAGGCCTCTATTGCTTTTGCTTTCATAATGTATTTTAATTCTTCGGCAAATAATCTAAAGGGAAGTTACTAGATACTAGAGACCATGTTTGGTGTGAAAAGAAATTTAAACAGAAAAAAGGTTGCTGCTATAGGGCTGAGGTACACCAACAAATCACTTGGATTTTCAGGAGAGAGAAGGTAAAATGGCTGGAGAGCAACAGAAGCTTCATTTCACATCTCAGTTTAATTGGAATTTGTGCATCATTCCAAGCTAAGCAGCCATTAGTTGTGAGCCTTAAATTTCTAAAGAAAACCACCTAATAGTCATTTGCTGCAGCAGAGTTTGCACAGCAAGAGTTGTGGTAATACTTCTGGAAAGCAATAATGGAGCTGAAATCCAGTGAGAAGCTTCCTGTTACTGATGTGCTTTGCATAAGTGTAGCTTAGATGTCTTCTCTATCCTTCCTGGAAGACACAGCAGCAGAGCCCACTGCTAGAAGCACAGCAGCTCCACAGTTTGCCTCATTTTGCACTGCAGAACTGCTCGGTGCTGGAGGCTCAAACAACAGCTCAAATATGCTGAAACAAATCCACTGGCGGTTACTGACCAACCAGAGGTATAAAAGAATGCCTCTTTCAGGTACCTTAGATTTCTATTGTCATGTGACAGGACTGCCTTGTGATTGTACGGCCTTTGCACACCAAACAAGAGTTCTGCCAGCCTTTGGAGCAAATTGTTTTTTGAAAACCATATTGTTACATTCCTGCCACAGAGAATAAAGTGCCTTCCCTTCTCAAATCTAAAGCTCATCTCAGAAGGACCATAAGAGTGAAACGGAGGGGATAAATAGGCTCAGAAATAATGAAAAGATGTATTAAACAAATGTGAGAAACCGTGCATATTTTCTTTACCAAATATTTTCTGAAATTGAATTTTTTGTGTATAAAAAACAAGTAGCAATTTTAGTGGCCCCAGGGCATATACAATAGCAATTACTGAAAAATTATTTTAAATGTTTCAAACTGAGGGTAGTGGCTTTGGTGTCACACCAGAAACTACAAATCTACACATCAGAAAGTTGGGGATTTTTGAGAGACAGCCAATTTATTTATCTGATATGTTTGGTGAACACCCTTAAAACATTAAAATGTCCTTTGAGAACAAGAATGGACAAGTAGTTGAACACATGAAGAACACTGCATATTAAAAGTATTATCTCTTGGACAAGGTAAAGCAGTTAATGAAACAACCCCCACCTTATTAGGTTAGCTTTTCTAGTCCGAAGAGGTATCTTTACCAAATTTTACACATTTCAGAAAATATTTACTGAAAAGTAACTATTTGAAAAAACCTCAGTGGAATGGGATGCAATTAATGCTTAATACACCTGTTCTTTTGGGATTAATGTATTAACACCTGTTATATCATAGAGATCTGAACAGTATGACACCATTATTCAATGTCTTTTAGCCTTTAAAAGTGAAAAAAAATTCCAAAACTGAAAACCCATTACCGCTATAATATTTATTACAATCTGTGGTCTTGCTGAAACAGTAAGAGATATCTTTTGTTCAATGACCTGAAAGAAAGCCTTTGTATGGGTCAGGCAACAGAACCTGCATAAAACTAGATGCTGAGGTTGTGAGACTGTTATATGTTTTACAAACTGTATTCTCACATCTCTGTTTCAAGTAAGCATTAATAAATTGACTAACTCAAGAGGAATTCTATGAAGTTGACACACTTGCAATATGTTTTGAAGAATGACATTCAAAGGTAGTACGCTGGTATCCAGCTTTTTTGTAACACAAAAAAAAAAAATTACCCAGAGATTGACACAGATGTTATTTTCACAAAGAGCAAGATTTGAGACATTTCATACACATAGCCACTGTCCATGAATTTTCAGCTGAAAAATTAACTTTGACCTTTCAGTTTCAGGGCAACAAAAGCTCAACAAGAATATTTATAAGCAAAAGCTCAGTAGACTTTCAAAAGTTTTTGAGGTATCTTTTGAACTACTGTTTTTGATAGCATGTGTGTAAAAGCTGCATATGGGGAAATGTTCAAGAAAATAAACTAAAAAATCTGAAATGATGCCACCCAAATCACCAAATGATCCCACCCTGGAACTAGTCACCTTCTCAATAACACTGTCATGTGGGGAATGACACTGCCAGGTTTGCAGGATAAGATAACCAGTGTAAACTGAGGGCATGGTTCCACTCAACTAAAGAAATCTGCTACAGGAATTTGAGTGCAACTGCAGGTTCTCACAGCACAGATAAATGAACAAAATGTCAAATTTCATACTTATAGTAAGAATCTCTCCACATTTTCCTCCTTCTAAGTTGATTAAAAGACATCCACAACAGAATTTGTTTTGCCTCTGAACAAGACAACTTTGAATTTCAAACATGCTTATTAAAATGCAAAGTTGTGCATCAAGGGGATGAGGGAAGGATGAGGATAGGTATCAGAATTACTTGTTTGAGGTACTGTAACTAATGATTTAGCAGAGCATGCTCATCAAATATTGGATTATATGTATTCAGTCACTTGTTTTAAAAGAATACAGCTAATGATACCCTCCATGCATTATTATTCATGTGATTTGTACAACAAATACATGCTTTGCCTCTTTGTTTCCTTTCATTTATTTACTTAGAACAATAAAGATGCTAATTATGGTCATATATGCTGGTTGGTAACACTGCAATTAATTTCTAGACTAAGGCAATTGAATCAAGACTAGTTCATACAACAGAACTAATATATGCCTCCTGGAGGTCATGTGTATCTAACTGGATCTCTTTCAAGAACATGATAAAATGTAATATTTGGCATCTATGTCCAAAAGCTGCTGGAGAGTACATGAATTCACTGCAGAAAGAGCTCGACAAATTTCAAACTACTTTTCTGTTCACATCCCAGGCTTTTTGACGAGGTTTATTTCCTTTCACATTTGTGAAAGACCTCCACCTGTTCACACAGTTCTCTCTTCAGTAGCATGCAGATGAGTTTTATACCTACAGCCTATGAACATATAGCAGATGGGGTGCTTTGAGTGCTGTCTGATCATTATCACTTTCCTACAACATTAGTAGCTCTCCCTTTGTAAAGTAGTTTGAGACCACAAATTGAATTCTGTGTCTCATAGCAGGTAAACAACTTTATGAACATTTGAACTTCTTTTAAATCCCATTTCAACATGTCTGCTTTTTGAACAGAATTCCTTAAAGATTTCTGTGTATTTCATGCTGTGTGCTATTAGGTTCAGAGAAATGATATAATAAATATAGTGCCACACATTCTATAATTTAATTACGTAATTTTGTTTATAATGATAGCTGGCTTGATATTTTATGACCATTGAGGCAGTGTGTGTTATTACTTTGTTGAAAGCTATTGGATCTTATAAAAGCATCAAGACAGTAATAATCATTGAGAGCTGTAATTTAGGGAGGACTAAATGAGCACATTTTGTGTTGCCCTCATGTTCATTAATAGGAATTAAATGACAGGGTAATCACAGATTTTCTTTTGTTATTGCCTATTCCATCCACTAGCATTCTTCCTGTGCATGTGTCTAATCCAAATAGCCTTTAGATGAAGACTTACAACTCAGGCTTAGTGCTGACTAACATCTGTCACTGCCCTTTTCACCCATATTTGACAGCATTTAGATGATCCTGACTTCAATATTCAAGCCAGGTAGGATTTTAAAGCAAATATGTGTTTTGTGGTTCAAATTGCTGTTGGTATGTTCATCGCTGTCCTTAAAAGGCTGCAAAACAACAGCTGCTGCTTTATTCCTCTGCACAGAAGCCATCATTTCCAGAAACAGAAGGGTCATGGCCATCATTTCCCATGACAGGGAAATCTGAACACAATGAAGACACAAAGTCACTCTATATGTATTATTTGGCATGGAATTTAATAATTTTTATTTATTAAAAAAAATAGGCTTGAGCTTCGAAAGAATATCCAAATGTTTAGTTACTAAGGATGTGCTCCCAGCTACTAGCAAAAGTCCTTACAACAACAAGCACACGCAAAGATGAAATGGGATATCACCTAAGAACAGAACTAGGAGTAAATAAAAATTTACTTACCATTTTGTTCTCTCTGGACTCCAGCAGCAAGCAAATCTGGTTCCCCAAGACTTATATCATTGAGCCTGGCCCCTAGACATTCCATGCAAAGATGCTTGCACCACTCCTCTGCCTCTAGCTCTGAGGAAACAGAAAGAAATCCATTCATGTTGATATTTAAAAAAAAAAAAAGGTGTGAAGTCAAATCAATACTTTTTGACTGACAATGTTTATCACAATATGTTTGTGTTGAAATATGAGTTATTAGCATAAAGTCCCACAATAATTTCTTTGCCTCAATTTATGAACTTTTAAAAAGGGTTACACTATTAGGACTGCATCTTCCACCCTCAAATTTGAGGATAGGAGGTGGAGCTAACAAAGAAGAGGAATAGTGAATTTTCAAGGCAGTATATTTCTAGTAGGCCCTCTTGAAAAAAAATGCAATTTAGAAAAACTTCATATATAATAGCTGAAATATTCTTTACTACTTTTTAGTAGAACTCTTAGTAGAAGTCTGAAATCTTAAGGTAATTTCTTTTTCTAAAGGTGTTAGAGCATTTTTCTAAGAGCAAAGGAAAAACAGTTATAAAACGTTCTTCAAATGCCAAATTTCCCTCTCTGCTGTAGTGAAAGACTATGTCTGTCAAGGTATGCTGAACAATTAATTTCTTCAGTTCTGTTCACCTTCTTTTTGTCTCAGGGCAACTTGGTCATTAGTTGAAACATTTTTAAGAACATTCAAAACCTCCCAATCCTTTTAGTTGACTTTCCCATGGATGCAATATGAGAGGTTTGTATCTGCCAGTCCACCAAAATGTGGACTCCACAAGGCATAATTCCCACACACAACACAGCATCCTCCCGTTCAACTTCAGCTTTATTCTATCCACTTCCCAAATTTAACATCATGAAATCCCTGGCATGGGTCAAACATGCATAATCTCAATTTGGAGCCAACACAGTGTGAAACTACAACCAAGAAAAATCATGCAACTACCCTGACTGTCTTTTATTTGCAGGAAAGACTTCACCTAAGGGAAAGTTTCTGGAGAGCAGGCTCCGCACTACAAACTCACTCAGCCTCCATGGTCACAGTAGTCTCTATCTGATCATCTTTGACAGTGAGGGGGATCCAGTGATCTAGAAATGTTTGCACTAAACTGCCAGGTTTTCAGTCCTTTTTCTGGAGACATTGGAAAAATAATTTTGTGACAATCTCTCTAATGCACTGCTGAAACTGGGAGAGAGAAAAATACTGCATACAAGCCCTAAAGCATTTAGTGATGATGAATCACTAGAATTAGTGATTTTTTTTTATCTGAGAAAAACTCCTCTAAGCCTAATTGGTACAGTCCTCAGATGCTTCCCTGGTTAGACATAGATCTCATATAAACATTTGCTGGACAAGAAAGAGAGACAGGCACGCAGCTCCAGGTCTCCAAGAACCTTTGAATACCTTCTTTTGTTCAGCGTCTTGAATAATCCAGGAACAGATAAATATAATTCCTGAGTTATTCTGACTATCAGCTGACAAAGTTCCCAGCCAAACAGCTGAAATAACAGAGCCTATTTCAGAAGTTTTGAGAACCAAATATGGTTGTTGTCACAAGATTTTGGGGGTGCTTCTTCAGAGTGTTGTGAGGAAAGTGGTATCCCTTAACCCTTCCTGCTTTTTTGCAGTTTGTGTCAGGACAGATTCCCAAAGTTGGTCGTCTCATAACATCCTCACCTTCTAGTGGTAAGAGACAGAACATTATATCAGTAACATACAGATGACATTTAGCTTCATAGGTGAAAAGAAAATATTGAGGTAACAGGACACTGTTTTTTCAACACTGCTATGGATTCTGCCTCCCTGACAGAAGCAAGGAGAGAATAGGCTTATCTCTGGACAGCAGTAAATTTTTACAGCTTTTAAAAGAAGGAAGATGAGTTTGTTCAAAGACCTATTTCCAAAATTATTCTACTCATACATGAAGAAATTTCCTGTATATTTTCCCTTCCCCTCTTTCAGCGTTTGCCATTTCCTTGGATACTTCTGAGGTCTTTTGAACTGAAGCCACACCTTATAATCCCATTTTCCCATGGAGACAGTTTCATGCCAGGGACATAGATGATAGAACTGGACCCTAAGCCACGCTGCCCTATTCTGGCAGCATGTGGATGGGGCAAGGGAGCAGGGTACCAGCACACAGGTAAGAGAGTTGAGATGCCATTGAGTTACCCAACATCTGCTTCCAATTATAGATGAAGGCAGGGCAATCAATGGGCAAATCTGGTAGCACAAAGGTGACTGCAAATCTTGACAGGTTCTCCCATGGTTTTTTTTTTTCCTTTTTCTGCTTCTTTTCTAGCTAAACTGCATCACAGAACAATATACATGCTGACAGAATGCATAGCTCCATATAAAGCCTGCAATTTTTCCTGGAGCGTAGCCAGGATATAACATTTTATGTATTTTACAAAATCTGCATTTTATTACTTTTTTTCATTGTGCTTGCACCCAGACTGAAAGGGCATGTACTGAAAATATAGAATGACATGATGGTAAACAAACACTTACCTAACCTTTCTAATATTACAAATATCTGAGAAGAAAGTGAAACACACTGGTAATCCCATAAATCCAGTTTAACATCAATATATATTCAAAAGAGAACTCACATAAAAGCTACGAATTCAACTTATATGTATTCTCACACCAAATTTCCAGTAGATGTTTTTGGAAACAAACAAAGTGCTCTAGGAAGCTGTTTCTTCTGTGTGTCCTTGTTTTGTCTCCACATTCTACTTACTTATCTCTTTTACAGGAACATCTAGGTCTTGAAAGTTTGGATCCAAAAAACCCCTTTTCAGAATGTTCTCTGGCAGTTTATTTCAAGCTGCTGCCTTATTGCTGCCTGACACTGATGATTAGGCTCAGATTAGACCATTCTCCAACTGCCATACAGAAGAAACTTATCTTGGTATGAGCATTCTAAGATCATGGCTATATTTTGCAAAGTGTAGGCTATAGCATGCATTGTACTGCTGTATAACTCAAAATTTCTGTCTTACAGAAATGATTGACTTGATGCTACAGGAAATATAGTTTCAATGCAGAACTGAAATATCTGCCCACAGAACTGTGAGGATTTGTGTCTGCTGTCAGAAGAATCAACGTTATCTACAAATGTGTCTGGAAGGTCAAGGGTATGAAGGTAATGTATGAGTTAGTTCTGCCTAATGCATTCTGATAGCGATTGCTTACTTGCAGGGAATTGCCTTCTACCTTTTCCTTGATGGACATGTGAAACCTTTCTTTTAGAAGCAGGTGAGTCACTTTTCAAAACTAAACCCCTGATTCTCCTTTCACCACGCGCATCAATAAAGCAACGTGACATTATTTTGTAAAATGTCTACAGAATGTCTTGGGTTTCTGGGTAACAAATTAAATATTATTCTGGGTAACAAATTAAATATTATTTATGATACCAAAAAAAATTATTATAATTTACAGTACATAAATGTGTCATGGCAGCAATCTTTAAGAATGCCATATACCATGTCAGAAAACAGAGATATCTCAGTTACTTCCTTAATTTGATTACATGCATATACTGAAACAGATGAAATATTACTATGGAACCAAGTAATAAAAAAGTGTCAGCAAAATTGTCCTCTTTAATGCATGCAGATTAGATTTATTAGTGGCAAATACAGAGTGTTTAGGGTAACTGGAACTTGTCATTGAAAAATTTATTTTCCTTTTAAGATAACTGAATTCCTGGACTGAGTGATAAATTGAAAAGCATGCTTTCACAGCTATAAATAAAATCAAAATACCTGCATTTTTATCTTCGGTGGCAAATGCAGAGTTTTTAGTCGTAACTGGAACTTGTCATTGAAAAATTTATTTTCCTTTTAAGATAACTGAATTCCTGGACTGAGTGATAAATTGTAAAGCATGCTTTCACAGGTATAAATAAAATCAAAATACCTGCATTTTTATCTTCACTGTTATTTAATTATAAAATTCTACAATAAAAATCTCATGAAGTGAGATAAAATGCAGAGATGGAAGACCTTAAATAGGAACTGTTTACTGCACAAGAAACATTACTGGGAACAAATCTGTAAGCTTCTTACTCAGCTTACTATTGACAATATTTTCCTGCAGCTGATCCGAATTTTAGGTCATGCCCGAGGCTATGTGTCATTTCTGCTTCAGTTCTCAGGTGATTACAGTGGTGCTATACCTAGTCTGACCACTGTCTTGGACATAGGTGACACCACAAGATGCTGTTGGTTTGTTGATACAATAGCAATGATGGAATAATGTTGGCAAATTGTGATGGAGATAGGAATTTGTCATAGTAGAAGTGTTCTTCTGCTACTTACACTTTAAAAGAAATCATTATACACAACATTCTCTGCTGAGAGGGGGTGAGTGACAATGAAACATATATGGACCCATTTCAAATTCACTGTCCACAGAAACCCTCTAGATCTCTTTCTATCTGGCCTCTAGATACTCTAGATGTCTAAGGCTAGAGGACGGACTGTTTTCAGCCTCCTAACTTAGGATGCATTTTGTGTATGGACTTAACCAAACACCTTCTGAATCCTGGTAACTTCATGGGTTTTCACGTTTTCCTTCTGTGTTCACATGGCACAATCCTACAGCAGCATTCCATCTCCCACCACCACAAGTTGCCAGCACAGTTGGATGCCTCTAGGCTGAGACAAAGCCTCAAAGTGCTGACCCCTCCTGCTCAGTCCAGTGCCCTCCATTTCAGGAGATCCACTTCAACACTATAAGCATCAGTTTACTGAATGTGTAAATAAAAGGGCTCAATTTATATGCACCTTCTAGAGAGACAGGCCTCCTTCCCTTCTCATGCAGACCACATAAAGTGATGAGGTTAAGAATTTAGGCTGGAAATAGCATGTCTACAATTTTAGAGGGGGATAACAAACAGAGTCCTTGTGCAAATAAAAAACACCTCACTTACATCTTCATGTTTTACCTGATGTCAAACTTCATAAATGTGAAATGTTTATTTCTTCATTTCTGAAACATTTTTATGTATTTGCTGTGCAAATTGTTTAGCTCTTCTTCCTTCTAAATGATGTCTATAAGAGGAATAAATCCAACT